CCATCAAAACCTTCCTCTCGGGACTCAGGAAACCATGCAGAAGAAGAATCTAAGAGCCAGAGGCAATGGAGAACACCAAGGAAACAAGGTCTTCTAAATCAACATGTTGGATGAACTCACAAAGACAGAGGTGGCACACATGAGGCCCATATAGGTAAGCATCAGATGGAGTCCATAGGGCCTGTACAGGTAAGCATCAGATGGAGGAGTCCTAAACCAGAATGAGGTGGACACATGCTCCATCCTTCATCCAGAAGCTATTTCCAACTGAAAACCACTTTCAAATAAATTAGTTTTCTCCATGGGAATCCCACTGGGAAGACAAACCACTCTTATGTGGAGACTGCATGCCCGCAGTAGATGCCACCACAAAATGAACTCAAGGGCATCTTTGCAGATTCTTTGCCTCATCACGTCATATCAGGCCTTTTTTTTTTTTACATTTATATTTTTTTTTCTGTTTTCACCCTGCAGGTCCTGTGTGTGTGTGTGTGTGTGTGTGTGTGTGTGTGTGTGTGTGTGTGTATAAAATAGCTTCCAATTTAGTGTTTTTATGGGATTTCTGAGTGTGCAAACGAGTGGGTCTCTATGTCTGTATCTGTTCTGTCAGCCTTTTCCCTTCTGTTTGTTTTGTCCTCTACCAACATGCTAGCTCTTGTCTTTCTTGTTATATTATATTTATTATTCTCCCCCAGAATCCTGTTTGTTTTCTAATAAGATACGGAAAGGGGGTTGTCCTGGCTGGTTTTCTGTGTCAACTTGACACAAGTTTGATGGGAGAAGTCCTGTGTATTTGTCAATAAAGCACTGTTGGCCAGTAGGGAAGCAAGATAGGTGGGACTAGGAGTCCAGCAGAACTCTGGGAAGGAGAAACACAGGGAGTCACGATGTAGCCCACCAGAGAAATAAGATGTCCGGAACTTTTCTCCGGTAAGAGAAATACTTAGCTTAACAATTATGGGATAACAGCACTTGGGAGGCAGAGGCAGGCGGATCTCTGTGAGTTCGAGGCCGGGATGGACCGACAGCCTCCAAAACAATACAGAGAAACCCTGTCTCGTTAAAAAACAAAAACAAAAAAAAACCAACCAAACAAACAAAAAAAAACAATTATGGGATAAATACTTAAGTCAGAGCTAGCCAGTAAGAAACAAGCAAGGCCAACAGCTTCATAATTAATACAGCGTCTTGTGTGTTATTTGGGGACTACAACGCGACAGAGCCCAGGCGACTGGAAAAACCAAAGCGGCAAGGAAAAGGCTTTCCTCTCTGCACAAGGTAGAGTCATCAGAGGAAGGAGCCTCAGCTGAGGGAACGCCTCCTTGAGACCCAGCTGTGAGGCATTCGCTCATTTAGTGATCAGTGGGGAAGGGTCCAGCCCCTGGTGGGTGGTGCCATCCCTGGGCTGCTGGTTCTGAGTTCTGTAAGAAAGGGAGATGAATAAGCCAGGGGAAGTCAGCCAGTAAGCAGCTCCCCTCCACGGTCTCTGCATCAGCCCCTGCCTCTGGGATCCTGCCCGTTTGAGTTCCTGTCCCGGCTTCCTTCAGTGATGATTAGCAATGTGGAAACCTCTTCCTCCTTGGCTTGCTGTTTGGTCATGGTGTTTTATGGCAGCATTAGAAATTCTAGCTGAGACTGGTGGATCTGGATGGGAGGGGATCTGGGGAAGTCCTGGGAGGAGTAAAGGGAGGGGAAAGGATGATCAGGATATATGAAAAAAAAATCTATTCTCAGTAAAAGGAAAGAAAATTTAAAGGTCAATTATACAGAAAATGTAACTTCAACTAGCAAGGTGTGGTGTACCTATAACCTGCAGCGTTAGTCTAAATAGCTTTAAATGCAGGGAAGGCACTGTTGTTTTAGAATGGAGAAAACAATACAACTGGAGATAATCATGCTAAGCTACTTAAGCCAATCTCATAAAAGCAAATGCTGTATATTTTCTCTCATCTGTAGTTTGTAGATTTTATATAAGTACAAAAACTCTGCGTCGATATGTCTTAGTCATGTCTTCTATTGCCTTGATGAAGCACTCTCACCAAGAACAACTTGGGGAGCATAGGGTTTATTTCATGCACATGTTCCCAAAACAGTTCATTGAAAGCAACAGGGAGGAACTCACACAGGGCAGGAAGCTGGAGGCCGGAGCTGCTGCAGAGGCCATGGAGGGTGCTGTTTACTGGCTTGCTCAGTTTGCTTTCCTAGAAGAACCCAGGACTACCAGTTTAGGGGTGGCTCTACCTGCAATGGGCTGAGTGCTCCCACAGCACTAACTAAGGAAATGTAAAGGTGTACCCGCAGCCAGATCTTATAGAAACAATTTCTCAGCTCGTGTTCCCTCCCCTCAGATGACTACAGCTCGTGTCACCTTGACATAAAACTAGCCAGCACATCATAAATCCTAGTCACTGTTCTCTTGTTGTGAAGAGACACGATGACCCAGCAACTCTTATAGAAGTAAGCATTTAACTGAGAGCTTGCTAATAGTTTCAGAGGCTTGGTCTATTATCACGGTGATGGAAGTATAGTGTCAGGCAGGCAGGCACAGAGCTAGACAAGCACCTAAGAGTATCCAGACCCCCAGGCGGCAGGGAGGGAGGGAGGGAGGGAGGGAGGGAGGGAGGGAGGGAGTGCAACTCTGGGCCAGGTGTGGGCTTCTGAAACCTCAGAGCCCACCCCCAGTGACACACCTCCTCCTAATCCTTCCCGGAAGTCCAACTGGAAACCACACATTCAAATATATGAGTCTATGGGAGGCCACTCTCTTTCAAATCACCACAGCATATGTGACTAAAAACATCTCTTACTTCAAATAGAGTGGTATTGTAGACAATTTGTGTTTCCAAGTTTTGGTAATAATATAATAATGTTAAGAAAAAAAGACAAGCCGGGCATTGGTGGCGCACGCCTTTAATCCCAGCACTCGGGAGGCAGAGGCAGGTGCATCTCTGTGAGTTCGAGGCCAGCCTGGTGTACAGAATGAGTTCCAGGAGAGCGTCCAAAACAATACAGCGAAACCCTGCCTCGAAAAACCAAAAAAGAAAAAAGAAAAAAAGCATTGTATGGATGAGAAAGAAGAGTCTCTTCCATTTCCAGTCCTGTGGTCTTGGGGAAATTAACTTCTATTTGAGCTGTTTCATTTATTGTGGACATAATAAAAAGCTGTAAGATTAAACAAAACTCTTCACTGCACACCAGTCAGAAAACTGAGGCCCACAAAAGTGATGAGATTCCCCCCCACACCACTAACGTGCAACAATCTGAACTAAAATGCCCATTCCAGATTTCCCAGTTCTGTCTTCACACCCACTGTGCTGAATCCTCCACCATAGCTTAGATGTGAGCTGGGCGTTCACACCCACTGTGCTGACATCCTCCATAGTAACTTAGATGTGAGCTGGGCGTTCACACCCACTGTGCTGACATCCTCCATAGTAACTTAGATGTGAGCTGGGGTTCACACCCACTGTGCTGACATCCTCCACCATAGCTTAGATGTGAGCTGGGAGTTCACACCCACTGTGCTGACATCCTCCATAGTAACTTAGATGTGAGCTGGGGTTCACACCCACTGTGCTGACATCCTCCACCATAGCTTAGATGTGAGCTGGGAGTTCACACCCACTGTGCTGACATCCTCCATATTAGCTTAGATGTGAGCTGGAGACAGTCAAAAAATCTCTGAGACTTAAACAACTTCTCTGAAGTTGGCTCAACAAGGCTATAACTTTCTCAAATATTTCTGAAATTAAAGTGTAGAGTATGTGTCATTACAAAGCCAACATAAGTAAACTGCCTGGCTTAATAAATGGAAGCAACTACTAACTTCAAGAAAAAGTAACTATAAACTTTAATACAATATATAATTAATGTTGCCCATAGCTGACTAATTCCTACTGTATCTCAGCTTAAACATAATTTCTCTCAAAAACCTGTTGGAACAGGGTAGACAATCCCTTTCTTAACGATATGTCTACAGAACTCAAATTCTCTCGTAGAGAATCGCACGCCTTTTTGTCAATTGCCGGTTGCCTTTAAACACTGTGAAAACATGAACAACTTAACTTCTGCTTGCTCACCACTGTAACCAAGGCACCTACAAAGATACTCTACAGGGTGTGAATATTAAGACTTTGCCTAATTACTGGTTATCACAACGCCACTTAAGGTGATCCTACTAAATCGGCTGTTTCTATCTTTGCTTTTCTATCAATGGGCTCTTAACTGCCAATTCAGAGACCAAAATACCAATGACCAAGCATTCACCCTCCTCTACACCCCCTTCATTATGTCAAATAACAGGACTAACATGTCAAGGATAAATGGGCACACAAAATTAATGTTTGTGGCTGATGGAGATAATGAAACAGCTTAAAATTATTATCCATCACTCCTCTCCATAACACCACCATTGCTGCCTGACTGTTCACAGCAGTAACTAGAACTATTTGTTTAGTTCTACACAGGAAGATCTTAAGTCAGTCATCTCTAGTAATCCTTAAAATGGCCTTGTAGCTGTTCTACAGCGAAGAAGCTGAAGAGCCAACATCTTCAAATACTTTGCAACAGAGTGGTGCAGCCAGAATTTCAACTCAGGTCTTCTGATTTCACAGGTCATTTCTTAAACTCGGTCAGCCTCCCTCCATTAGAGGAAAGAAAATAGCTTAGTTCAAAGATTTGAGTGCAATGAAATGTCCCTACTGCTCTGTCTCACAGAGTGGGAATTCAACATGGCTGTTCGTTTTCTCCAGAGAGTCACTAGGGATTTCACTATGTTATAGTGCAGTATCAATATTTTGCCAGGTGTGGTAACACATGCCTTAAATCCCAGCACTTGGGAGGCAGAAGCAGGCCGATCTGTGAGTTCAAGGTCCCCATGGTCTACATAGAGTTCCAGGACAACTAGAGCATGTCTCAAAGAAACAAACTAACTAAATAAAACAAAACGCAAATCACAGGAAACTAGGATAATTCACCGAGAAAGTACGGTAGACACTCACCCACAAAGGCTGCCATCTGGGCGGCTGTTCTTCCCACCGAATTCACAACGTCCGTCTCTGCACCTGCCTCCAACATCGCCCACGTGATGTCTTTATTGCCTAGAGTTCCAGGACACAGATTCGTTAACCCTAAGACATGCACAGTTTTGTCTGCTCTCTCTCGAGCACCCTTACCGACTTTCAAGTTTCTATCATGAAGACATTTTCATTTTTCCAAAAATATCAATCATAATTGCAAAAATAAAGCATCACAATAATATCTACTTAGTCAAAGCAATTTCCTGGGAAACCACTTTGGTAATATAAACATAGTATAGACTTGAATATCACTTTTAACAATAAAGCAGAGTATGTTTGATTAAAGGCAATGCTTGGGATTAAATCAAAATGTACAAACAAAATTATCAAAAACACAGAGAAGAGAGAAATGAACAGAAACCCTCCTTGAACACCCGCGGGCTCATTCCTCCTCTGACTCCTACAGACTTGGGAGGTGTATGTGGTATATATATGGTAATATGGTATAAGCCTTGGGGATCTTTCTGCACATTTCTGTGTAAATACCTATAGTTCATTTTCACTTTCCAAATCATTATGCATATTTTCTAATATTATCTCCACTGAGTGAGCAGCACTTTTGGATCATTTTTGTAAGCATGAAAGCATTTTCCATATTGACCAGCTGGCTCGATTTCTTCTGTTCTCTGTCCAGTTGTCTCTCACAGTATTTGTCTTTCTCTACTTGATTTGTAAGATCTCCTTATAGACAGCAATGAATCCAAAGACACACAATAAATATTCACTTCATTTTTATTTGTACTTTATCTCATTTACAGCAATGTTAAAATTCTACGTGATTAAATCGCTGATGTCCCCTTTGCTTATAGTTTTATTTATTATCATTATTTGTGTGTGTGTGTGTGTATGTGCGCGTGCGTGCCTGTGTGCGCGCATGCGCACCTGTGAGGGAGGCCGTGTCAGAGGAGCAGCAGGTAGCAACTGAAGCCCCAGGTGTCAGCCGACCAGGAGGAGACTCCCTAATGGATCAATCTTGGACAGGACAGGCTTAGAGACCACAGACCCCGGAGCATCTTTTGCTCCTGCTGTGCCTTTACATGTTTGCAGCTGCAAACAAAATTATCTCTGGTGTCTGGCCCGGTGTGAGTGGCTGTGGAGAGATCCCCACTGCCTGTAAGACAGAGTGCTTACCTCATGGAAACATCCCGTTCCGATGCATTCTTACCTGTGGATTGCTATGAAGATGATTCCTTCCTAAGTTGTCCTGTCTGACTGATAATAATAATGCTAACTTATGCAGAGTTTTGATGAATAAAAATATATGCAAGGAAATGTCTCACAGCTAGAACACATGGGTTTCTATTGAGGAGCCATATAGACTACAGCTAAGTTTAATGATTAAGAATAACAGTTGAGTCCCAGTTAGCCCAGCTAGCTTAAATTCTTTTTTTTTTTTTTTTTTTTTTTTTTTTTTTGGTTTTTCGAGACAGTGTTTCTCTGTATTGTCTTGGAGGCTGTCCTGGAACTCGCTTTGTGGACCAGGCTGGCCTCAAACTCACAGAGATCCACCTGCCTCTGCCTCCCGAGTGCTGGGATTAAAGGCATGCGCCACTACTGCCCGGCTAGCTTAAATTCTTTTAACTTTAATGTCAGGAGGTGTGTTCAAAGGTTTCGGAGAACATCACGAGTGAAACAAAGCTTTTAAAATAACTTAAAGTTACACTAAGATGTTTTTGTCAAATAGCTTTGAGGTGAAAACTCCCAGAAGACAATGTAAAGTTTTAGAAAGGCGCATCGTTGAATGTGGAACTCTTTAAGGTCAGGGAACAAGGACAAAGCAGCCCAATTATTAGTAGCTGGCATGCCTTTCTTGTTAGGATTGGTTGATGACTAAAGGTGGTGATTAATTCCTTATACCCATTTTGGCCCTCAGTCTTCTGATATAAAAAACTATTAACGAGTGGGTATGTACCCTAACGTTTTAAAGTAGAGCTGACTGATTCTTTTGCATATATAAAAGTTTAGGTTTCTAATTCCTTTAAGATTCCTTATAAGATTGCCTTTCAAGATAAGTTATAAAGTAACTGACCCCCCCCTTTTTTTGTTACTACAAAATGTAGCCTGCAAATAAAAGACCTGACGAGAAGAACACCTTGCTTGCCCACTCAGTTAATCTATAACAAGCTGCTTGGGTATGAATGTATGTGGGTCCTTGGGATAATTTGTTTTTCACTCGTAATACATAAATGTTTACTCATGTAAGGGATATGGAAAACATGCTGTTTTTTCTTGTATTCATTGTAGTCATTCACTTGACAAACAGAATAGGACCACACTGTAATTTTGATATCACCTGAAAAACTTGTTGGGGTATATAAACTATAGAAAAAAAAGAAGAATAAAGAAGGAAACCATCAAGAGTGTGTTTTTTTTTTCCCTAACGTCCTCAAATAAAAAAGTATAGTATGTGCCGACACTATGGATTTCCCTTTGAGCCCTGTGTTGATTGGAGCCCCCCCCCGGGCAGCAATATGCCTTACTGTACATGTGTGCAGGGAACCAACAGTAGCCAAAGGGCATTGGATGCCCTGGAACTTCGGTTACAGGCAGCTGTGAGCCACCTGACGTGGGCGCCAGGAACCCTGAACTCCAGAGCAGTAGGCATTCTTTTGATTTACTTTTTCTGGGGGTGGTGGTGGGGTTCAAATGTGTTTTAATAAGTGATAATGCATTACTGCTCCTTTTCTCAGAAAAAATTCAACATATTTGAAATTTGAAGGTTAAAAAAAATGTACAACAAACTGCAGAAGATAGGCAAGGCTAAGCGCCACTGTCAGACCTTCACACAGCAGCCCTGTGCCCAGGATCGCACAGCCTGTCACGGAAAGCTGTGAGCAGCAACACAGACACGAGTGGGTGTCACTCTTGGGGAGCCAGCACCCAAGGAAAAGGTGGAAGCAAGGCAAACACGAGATTTTATAGGATCTACCAAAACATCTAATGTCTCCCTTATGACATGAAGGGGTTATACATGAGATACAACAAACCCGTGTGTGTGTGTGTGTGTGTGTGTGTGTGTGTGTGTGTGTGTGTGTGTGTGTTGTCAGCTCTGTGGACATTTTTCAGAACTCTCATCTGGGAGTGAATGGAGGAACTGGACTAGGTCACTGGAGGATGTTTAGGTTTGATGGTATATATGACAGTGTCTCTGGGATTGAGGGGAATAAAAATGAAAGCGTAATTAAAACTGGACACAATATGAAAGAAGGAAAGGCAGGCAGGCAGGCAGGCAGGGAGGGAGGGAGGGAGGGAGGGAGGGAGGGAGGGAGGGAGGGAGGAAGGAAGGAAGGAAGGAAGGAAGGAAGGAAGGAAGGAAATGATCAAGATTAATGGAACTCTGAGACCATTTTGCCATGGTTCACCACATCCTCAGCAATCAACACACCTCAGGAACTCACCAGACAGACTGATAAAGCAATATACCACAGACTTTGATTCGTTAAATACCACCCCTCCCGTGCCCTCTACCTCCAAGGATACTCCCGAGAGTAGTACAGGCAGGGAAGACTTAGCTATTGGTGAGAATACCTAACCCTTTCTAGAGTAGAATTCTGGCTAGTCCATAAAGGTTTCGGAAAACTAGACACCTAAAGTTTATGTAGTATGGGCAGCAATTATTTAGGACAAGTTTAGCTCCAGGAGCCAGAAGGTTGGGTGCAGGAGGAGTTCCACTAATTGCTCCAATTTGTTCCATTGCAGCAACTTGGCCAAAACATTTAGTTGGTGGTGGGGTCAAGCCTAGGGTTCCATCTGGCATCATCGTGGCAGGCCCTGGAGGGGCTCGGTACCAGCTGGTACAGGAGCAGGGAAATGGTGGTCTATTGTCTATGTCTGTAGCATCTCCCATAGCTATGTGGCCCATCCGTAGCCCTTGTTCTCTTTATCAGGGAAGAGTCCCTCGAATCCTTCCTGCCGTTGCCTTATTACTTCCTGCGGTCGCCACGTTTCTTCTTCACAGAGCCGGCACTCCTCCTCCTGCCTGAGCTCTGGCTGCTGTCTTTCCTCTCGGTTAGGCAGCTCCTCCATCCGCAGAAGCTCTTCTTGAAGCCTCATCCGGACCTGCCTCATTAGCATAACCCGGTGCTATCTTCATCTCCAGCGTCCCATGAGCCTCCTGGATGTTGGGTCCATTCGATCCTACTATCGCCTCTCCATCCCAATGCCTTCCAGCTCAAGGCACACTCACCCTCCGAGGACCCGGAGGGTGCAACTCTGGGTGGCTGCTTTCGCTCTGTGTGAAACGGCTGGAGTTTCTTATCACCATGTCCATTGCCTCCACGTTCACGATCCGAGGACATGTGTTAGCAAAAAGGGGCGTTCACTGCATCTGCCCAGAGCCTCCGAGCAGCTGACTCACCAGTGCCTTTCCCTGAGGGCCTTCCACAGTCATCCACAGTGACTACCGTCCTCCACCTGGCCAAACAGAAACGGCTTCGTCCTTCGCTTTGCTGGACACATTCTGAGGAAGGCTGCCAACTGCGAGCGTGAGCGCATGCAGCTGCCTTCCAGGGAGAGGCAAATGGTCCAGCTCCAATTTGGCAACCTCCGCTAGGGGTCGAGTCTCTAAGGTGGTAAAGCCTTTGTCCTTAGGAACGAAAACTTCTCCAGAAAGTTTCCTCATTTCCTTCTCAGGGGGAGATTGCCCACAAAGAGATGGCTACTCCGGGTAAAGGTTTCTCTTCTCTCTTCTCTCCGTCTCCCTCCCCTCCTCTCTGCTGCTGATGACATTGATGACGCATCCTTGGAGTAAGCATGGTTCTCTTCTCCAAGTTAAAGGTTTTCTTGCTCTGCATTCTTGCACCCCTCTGGCCACTTGTCCAGCCCCTAGTGTTTGTATTATTTATGGATTCTTTATTGTATACACTACTTAGAAATGCTTTTGTGATTGTATGTAAGTGCACGTGCACGGGCACGCCTTTAAAATCAGAGCTTATTATGTTGTATCTCTATTTTTTTAAAGACTTATAATCACCTGGGCATGATGTCACACACCTTTAACCCCAGCTCTCAGGAAGTACAGGCAGGTTGATTTCTATGAATTCCAGGCTAGCCAAGTCTATACAGTGAGATCCCGTCTCAAAACAGAAACAGAAAAAGAAAAGGAGAGAGGGAAGGAGAGGGAAGGGAGGAGGAAAAAGAGACTCAATCCTTAAACTCTATTTTACTTTAGGTGACACTTTTCAGTAATTTTATTCAGGAAACAGGCATGGATGCACGTAAGTCTGTTTCCACATGGATGGTCCAGCTGGGCAAGTGGCCAGCAGTGTCACGGCCAAAGAAATGTTTGCATCTCATTAAAATGTGAAGATTTAGACTCAAAGGCAGAAGTGTGGAAGAAGATGTGCAGAGTTCACGTCCCTAGGGAAACAGGCCACTAGGCTGACAGGATGGTAAGAGTAATCGTGCTGGCTGCAAGGCTGAGGACCGGCATTCGGTCCCCGCAACTAAGCCTGCAGGGCAGACTGTGCTGCGGCAGGCGGGAATATTCCCCAACCACAATAAATGTGTTAAAAAAAAGAAACAGATCACTAATTCCGCAACTTGTGTCAGACATTATAGCTGTTTATTTTATTTTAGTTTGTTTTTCTCAAAGACAGGGTTTCTCTGTGTAGCCCTGCTGTCCTGTAACTCACTCCATAGACCAGACTGGCCTCGAACTCAGAGATTAATTAGCTGCCCCTGTGTCCTGAGTGCTGGGATTAAGGGTGTGCTCACCACCTGGCTGCATTACAGCTTTTCAGAAGTCAATTCTCACCACTCTTTTCTATTAAAGTTCTAAAGATTACTAAGACATGCATTAAACTTGAAACACATGCCCGTTTCAATTGTATGGGTAATCAACACTGACAGAGTAAACACTGAAATTTACCAGAAAGTGCCGCAAACATGAGGGCTGTGTATCCATGCTCGTGCTGATGGCAATTGACGTCGGCTCCATGGCGCAGAAGTAACTTGCACATATCAAGTTTTCCTTTATACGCTGCATGCATTAAAGGAGTCATACCATTCTTTAAACAGAAGTGAAAATACATTAATTATGCACATTTCCGTTTTCATTACTTGTCAGCACAAACATAAATCAATAAAATCATCTTTAAAGCCGGTAAAGTACATTCATTTCCTCGCTTAGATATTATCTCAACTTCTGAGGGAAAAACCTATTTTGTAAAAGATTAACAAACAGAAAAGACATGTTCAGCCTCACAGACTATCAGACAAGTAGAGCAATGATCAGAACCCAGACTGACCAAAGTCCTCATCTCCCCACACTCTCAGTTCTTGAGATACAAATGAACACAAGAAAACCAAAGACAGGAGGCTAACGTGTGAGAACCACAGGTTCAAGGCCTGCCTGAGCCTGGGTAACTTGGTAAGAGACCCTATCTCAAAACAAAAAGTTAAGATGGGGTTTGGAATGTAGCTTAATGATAGGGTACTTGCCTACCAAGTGCAAGGTCCTAGGTTCAACCTCCAGCACCAAACCAAGCCAAAACCCAAACCAAACAAACAAACAAAAAAGTAAGCAGAGCACTTATCAAAAGGAAAGCTGACTAAATTCTGGCATATTCATAATAGGTAATTCTAAAGCTATTCAATAAGTGAATTTGGAGAGGGTGAGATGATTCAGTGGGTTAAAGTGCTTCCACCAAGCCTGGCTACCCGTGTCTGAGCAGCAGGGCCCAGTGGTAGGAGAGAACCTATTTCAAACGCTTTTCTTTGAGCACAGGTGGCCCGACACATACACACAATATAAACAAATAAAGATGAACATTCTCTAAAATTTTAGAGCGCATAGAGAAATGGCTCAGAGGTTAATATTGCTTGCTGCTCTTTCAGAGGATCTGAGTACAGTTCTTAGTGCTCACATCAGATGGCCCCAAACTGCCTGGGACTCCAGATCCAGGAGATCAGATACCCTGGCCTGGCCTTTTACGTACACACACACAGTTTTAAAAATTCAGCTACATGTAGTGAACTGGAAATTCTCTGACTACTGACAGTGAGAAAAAGCAGACACAGGATATATCTACTTGCTGTAACATCATATATTAAAACAGAAATCGCCAAACCACACACGCATTTAATTGCATTATGATTTGATTACATATGATTGCAAGCATTGCAAAGTAGCTGGCAATATTTAAATTAGACTGAATTGCTTGGTTTCCATCTGTCTGTTTACCTAACAAAGTATCATATAATGTAATAATATTACAGCACACACATGGATCTCTTAAATCTCATATATGACCCTTTCATGTCCCAAGGAAGACATTTTCTCTTAGAGGTTTGAGTATATCTTTAAAAAGGACAGGCTGTACAGTCTTGGGCACAGGGCTGCTGTGTGAAGGTCTGACAGTGTTGGTTAGCCTTGCCTATCTTCTGTAGTTGCGCTGTGCATTTTTTATCGGTGTGCTATGCTTGGTTCATTCCTGACAGCTTCAATTTGAAATGTATAATGAATAATATAATTCCACAGCTTTTTACAAAGTTTCAAGATTTAGTAAAAATATATGAGGTAGATTGCTTAATTTATTTTATCACAATGGCGTGTGTCTTTAATCCATCAGAAGCAGAGGTAGAGAAGTCTCTAGATATGTCCTAGGCCAGCCAGGGCAATGTAGTGAAACCCTGTCTCAAAAAAATAAAATAAAAAGGAGAAAGTATTTCTTCTTGGTAAGGAAATTGTAATATGATTTTATGAAGTGTGTGGTTTCAGTTTAGGAATGAGATAGGTACTAACACCGTTCAGCTCATGCTCATAAATATTCTGGCCGTAAGTAAACAGTTCATTTGCTGTTTTGAACGTCCATTCTTGAGATATCTTTAAGGAAATTAACCCCATGAATAATTTTGGCATTTCATCAGTTGTGTGGGAGGTTCTTGTCTTGCATTCGACGGGAAAGGTTCTGAGAAGCTCTTTTCCCGCCCATATCCCCTTCAATTTTCCTCTTTCTATCTTGCCTTAAGAACACCATCTTGAGAAGGCTGCTGACAATGGACTTGGAGGCTAGGTCCTCTCAGGTGACTGTAGCTCACTGAGTAGTTGCCCTAGGTTTGCTCGATAGCACCAAAACAACAGCAACAACACGGACATATGCACACACATTCGTGTGGATGTGGGTACAAGTTATGAACAGAGAGCCATGAGTGAGGCAAGGGTCCCCACAGCAGGAACCATGGAGGAAGAGAGGGTGTAATAAAACATGTCACATGAAGGTGGGAAGACAGGGGTGAGTGAGGGGAGAGAAAGCAGGAGGAGAGGGGGAAAGACAGGGGTAAGGGGATCAACCAAAACAAATGAAATCTGAAAAAAACGTCAGACAAAACAGAGTGTTTCGTATGCTAAATAAACAAACACACAACTATTCTTTTTAAAGAGTCAAAGCACTCAGATTTCAGCCATTTCTGCTCTTTCAGAATGGGTTAGCAGGCCACCGCCCCCTCCACCCCCACCCACCCTCCCCTCCCAGAACCCTACCCCACAGCCCTCACCTGCAGAGACCAACACTGGGCTAGAGGAAAGCAGGGCCTCTCAATACAACGTGACAGCCTGCACACCTCAAAGCAGGCCTTTCTTCTGCTGCAAATGGGGCTCTTTCTGCTGTCCCTGTGTTTGGCTGCTGGGCTCTTCTGCCCGTTTACACACCAGCCTCCCTTGGTTTCCCGTCGCTTCTTCTCATTGTAAAATAAACGCTAACTCCCTCTTTCTGCGTCTTCATTCCCTGCCTCTTCTCTTTTGGCAGTGGCCACCTCAGGAAGATTAGATTTTAGGGCCCCAAACCAAGAAAGCGCCTTTACAAAAGCATAGTTAGTTCTCTTGATTGACGACATCACTCCCTTGCAGGTGTCTGGGCCAGCTGCCTGTCATGGCCCCAGGTAATGTGCGCTTCCTGTGTCATTATCCCACGCTACTAGAATGTGTAAAAACCTAGACTAGCTTTTCAAAGGTCTGGATATCATTCCTGCTTTCTTATCTCGGTTGCATTTTGCATTACTTAAACGAGGCAAAGGAAAATTATAAATTTCCAGTGTAATTTTTACTAAGCATTAGTTTGTTTCTAATGCTACACTTTATGATGTGCTCTCAGTGGGCCAAGAAAAAAACGGAAGGGTATTAATACACGTCTATGTTCGGAGATAGAGGCTTCTACATCAGCCTTTCTAGTTGTTTTCATAGTCTGTCAGTGTAAATAATAACGAAGAATAAGAGACAAGTAACTCAAAACAAAACAGCTAATCTGCTAAAAGAAAATAGTCCCATGTTCAAAATAAAACCCCTACATTGATGGGGAAGTCCTGTGTATATGTCTATAAAGCACTGTTGGCCAATAGGGAAGCAAGATAGGTGGGACTAGGAGTCCAGGAGGACTCTGGGAAAGAGAAACACAGGGAGTCATCATGTAGCCCGCCAGAGAAGTGAGATGTCCGTCCGGTAAGAGAAATACTTAGATGGGTTAAATACTTAAGTCAGAGCTAGCCAGTAAGAGACAAGCAAGGCCATCAGCTTCATAATCAATACAGCGTCTTGTGTGTTATTTGGGGACTACAACGCGGCAGAGCCCAGGCAACTGGTGGGGAAAAACCAAAGTGGCTGGGAAGGAAAAGGCTTCTCTCTACACTACGTCAAATTGAAAACACTACCTTCCAGTTACGGATTTGAGGTAGTGCTATGAAGAAAACCGATGTTGAACACCCATCTCTGTTTACCACAGAAGTAGTGAGAGGTGTCACAACCCGCCCCTTCTGACTCTAGCCAAGTGTGTAGGAAGTGACACCCTGCTGTGCTCCCAAAGCATTGCCCAAGTGGTAGGGGCATCAGGGGTTACCAGGAGTTTACCGGGCTTTTTTTATCTTCTCTGGAGCCCTGTCTGGTTGGATCCATTGCTTGCCCCGCCCCCCTCTCTCCACTGGGTTCTATGTTCTTTTTTTCTTAAGTTAGACGTTCTTTCTATATTCTTGCTACATGTCTCTCCTCAGACACGATTTGTAAAACTTCTCTCCAATTCTATGGATTGATTGTGTGAGAGAAAAATTTACGTTTTAGGTTTTATTTACTATGCCCCAGAGATCCATGACACAAAAAGGCCTCTGATCTGCAAGCCCCACCTTCCAAGGACAGTTCCTGAAAGGCTGGAGGCTGTTGTTTATGGAAGACGACAAGTCACACAGTTTTCACTCCCTAAACAGGTTTGTTTCACCCATTTGCACTGGATGTGCTTGAACACATGGGCAAGAGGTTCACAGGCAGGAAATACATCAGGATGTACACTTGCCCCTGATTGGATGCAGGTATGGCAAGAAGTATGTTTGCCCCTGATTGGAACTAATGGGGAAGGCAATGAATTATGGGTTTTCTTCTGAAGCCCCTGTAAACAGTGACCATTGCCCAGGAATTCAGGTATGGACATGGCCAGAATCCATCCTCCTGGCCAGTATGTAAGTAAGCTTGCTTCAGATTTGGCTTTAAACTGTGGGAGTCTTAGTCTCCATCAGTGGGATTAACAATTGAAACACAAAAGCTTTCAACCTTTGAGATTTCCAGTTATCTATTTTCTATCTTGTAGCTAATACCTTATCTCATATTTCTTACTTGATTTTATTTTTACGTATTTTACTCACATAATTTCGTGATTTGAAAGCTCAGAATACCACAAGATTTATAACATGATAACACCTACAAAATGGCCTTAGCCACCTCAACAGCTTTAAATAACAGCATATTTTGATACATGTATTTCTAATTCTAAACATTTCTATTTCACTTGTGAATTTAAGAATTATTGAATTAAAAGACACTTCAAGATAGGCATTTCATTAGTTTGATTATTTTTATTTTCAAATCTAACACATTGCATTTGGTAAATTTGTTTAATATTATATGAAATTTATTTTTTAAATAATATAACATATAACCTATTAGCATATAAAAGACCACATTTCCACATTTCGTAAAAAAAAAAAAAAGATAGAGGCTAGGTGTTGTGATACAATTAGCCTTTAATCCCAGTACTTAGGAAACAGAGGCAGGTGAATCTCTGTGAATTAAAGGCCAACCTGGTCTACATAGTTAGTTCCAGGTCAGCCATTGCTGAATAGTAAGACCCTGTTTCAAAAAAAAAGATATCATTTGGAGACAGATGTGATTGATTACAAACACCTTTAATTGCATAATTGAAAGCCAAGGCAGGCAGGAGGACCAAGAGTTCAAAGGGTAGCCTGGGATATATGGAGGGTATTGATATATCTCAAAAACAACAATAAAATAAAAAGATGAAAAGAGGAAAGAAGGGGTTTACAATTTGGGCTTAATTTGTACTTCTTTGATCACTCATAAGATTAATCGTGTTTTCACTGTCTCTTATCTTGATTTAAGTAATATAACCCTGAGCACCCAAGCACTACAAAACAACTACCATTGGAAGATTTTACATTACCCATCTGGTGTGTGTGTGTGTGTGTGTGTGTGTGTGTGTGTGTGTGTGTGTGTGTCTCACCGCCCCTGGAGCTCGCTGTTGGCTAGACTGTCTGCTGGCCACTGAGCTCTGGCATCCTGTTTCTGCTGCCCCTCCCCCACCAGTGCTGGGATTACAGGTGTGTACCGCCGTGCCTGGTTCCACATAGGCTCTGGCAATCTGAACCCTAATCCTCACGGTGGCCCGCCAAGCACTAGCCAACTGAGCCATTCATCCTCTCAGGAAGGAAAATGCTGTTATTAATTTTACCTCATCCAAACAGTTGACATGAACATTCTTACTAGATAACAGTGTTCCAGCTTCTTGGACGGTACCTTTAAAAAAAAAAAAAAGAAGAAGGTGGTAAAACATGAGGTCATCTCTCAGGAGGAAAGGGCAAAGGTCTAAATGTGATGACAATAAAGTTTAAAAGGCTGTCTGGAAGACCAAGGCTGGTCAGGCCGGTGCTAAGACATAAAGGGCTTCCCAAGCATTTCTCCAGAGAAACGGTCTCACACAAGCTCACATAGTTCCATCTTGGTTTTACTTTCATTGACCATATCACCTTATCATATCAACCATACTATAACCACTCGGCATAGGAGTTAGTGCTGAAACAAATCCCTAAAGGCCATGTGGTCCAAATCACCACCCAGAACTGACTACTGCATCCCAGCAATGCTTAGGATTCAGGATACACTGGGTGTTGCATCATTCGTCACGGTGTCACTCCTCAGCACTGGGTCCCGGGAACGATGGCATCTTTCTAGCAGAATGCTTGGCTTAGAAACCTCTAGGTAGGACATAGTTACAAAGTCTGCAACCATGGAGATTGCTCTCTGGTGAGTATTCAGTCTCCCATCCTGGAAAGGATTGAATTAAAACCAAAAGGTCCGGCATCTGCAGATTTGGAAAGCCTCTGCAGATTTGGAAAGCAGCTGTAATTGGGTCAGAAAAGCAGGTTTTTCCAGTTTTGTGTGCATCGTGACAGAGAGTGGTTGCAGAAGAGAACATCAATGTCGTCACCATTAATCCACGACAGCCACAAGCTCGGCCAAGTAATTTCTTGGCTTGACTGGAAGAGAACAATGAAATTCAATGTCCTCAGAGTGTGAGGATGAGCTACATGCCTCCCCTCTAAAAGGAGACCAAAGACAGGAGCACCCCAACTAAGAGGAGACGTGGGGTGCACCCTGAACACCAGCGTGCCCCTCTCCCACTGTATGATTTGTAGGCAAGAGCCCTGAGGGCTCCCCACCAGTGCAGGAGAAGCTGTGATGCCACTGGGTGTGTTGGGAAAATGACAACAGAATGACCTAGGTGACCCTGGAGTGGGATGCTGATATTTCTGTAAACAGTGTGGGGTTTCCTTTGGTTCGTTTGTTTGGCTGGGTTTTTTGTTTTGTTTTGTTTTCTTTTTCTGGTACTGAACTCCCTGTGAGGACAGTTGGTATCATTGGCTGAACGGCTAAGGAAAAGGAGAAATTTGCTGCAGCACAAGCAAGCCAGTCTGACCTAACTGGTGAGCTCCAGGCACACGATAGACTCTGTCTCAAAGGAGGCAGACAATGTTCCTGACAGTGTCACCCAAAGTTGTCACACACAGACACAGGAGGAAGAAGCTTTGGAGTACGTAAGCAGCTTCTACTTTCAGCTTCAGCCATGCCTGTAGTTTCCCATTGAAGACCTTCTCAAGGTGGCTCAGCGGTTAAGGGGCTCTTCTACAGGACCTGGGTTCAAGTCCCAGCACCCACATGGCAACTAACAACTGTCTGTAACTCCAAGATCTGCCACTGCACACAAAGGGCAAGAAGACCTTCACCCTGCTTGCCCTTGGGAAGATGCAGCAGGTGACTTACACGCTCACTGAGAACTCACGGAGGTCATTTTCTTCCTGGCCAGAAGGTGTTTATGGACGAAAGGAGAATATTATAGAGATTGTGAGCATCTCAAAGCCTGCTGATGTTAAGGATAGGATGGGTCTCATTAGAGAACAGGCCTCTAATCCTACAGAATGTTTGCCCAGTGGCCACCAGCCTAAAAAGATACTAGGCATGCTGTAAAGCATAGCACAGGGATGTTTTCTCCGGCTAAACTCTCACTCAGTAGTCTCAAGACTCTACAACAGCAGACACTATCCTGACCCCTGCAAAACACACACACACAGCCGCTTACCAGCAGACATCAATGATATGTCTTCCTTAGGCTTGACAACTCACAGGACTCAAGGAAATACCAAACTCACATTTTCCTGTAAAAGTATGGTTCTCCCCTGTGGGTCTCCATTCCTTTGAGAATCACACAACCCCTTCACAGGCATTGCATATTAGATATCCTGCATATCAGGCATTTACATTACAATGCATAACAGCAGCAACGTTACAGTTATGAAGGAGTGATGAAAGTCATTTTATGGTTGGGGGTCACCACATGAGGAACTGTATGGAAGGGTTGCAGCGTTAGGAAGGCTGAGAACCCCTAGTCTAGATGAATAAGAAACGGCAGATGGGAGGAGACAGAGAGCCCTCTTTGGGCAGTCCCTCTTCCAGAAATCTAAACACTTTCTCAGTCTGGTATTTTGGAAATACTTTGAGACTTCGATGCATAAACATGGCCAATTATTAGCTAGGTCTCCTGCCCTTTCCCCTTTCCCCTTTCCAGAAGTCGATGGGGGTAAGGTGAAGCTGGAAGTTCCAAGCTTGTAATCATGGCTGGTCTTTCCAATGAGCACCCCATGCCGTAGAACTATCCAGGAGCCCACAAACAGCAACTAATAAGCACCTAGGAACTAACAAGCCTGTCACCTAGGAAATGCCAAGAGATATTAGAATAAAAGATGTACCCAGCACATCTGATGCTTAGATGGGGTGTGGATGGGGGCTTTAAGAACTGTTAAGAACTGTGTGTCAGGAAACAAGGGCAGAGAACAAATACGTACCATGTCCCACCCATGCAGACACATACATGCACACACACCGATTTGGGAAATCTCTTACATCAGCTTTTGGAGATTCAGGGAACAAGATGGAAAAAAAATCTGCAAAGACCTTGAGCTTCTGCAGAATGAAAATAAATGAGTGAACTACCCCAAGGGGAAATATATATGTAATGTGACTTTTAATTTGGTGTTCCCAATCTAATGACACCAAAAGGAAACCACAGAACAAGCAATGTGAAGCACGGGGCTCACACGGGATCCAGACTTCCCTATTCCTTACCCTCCATGGGAGACTTGGGGAAGGAAACGTGTTCTAGACTTCCCCTATTCCTTACCCTCCATGGGAGACTTGGGGAAGGAAACGTGTTCTAGACTTCCCTATTCCTTACCCTCCATGGGAGACTTGGGGAAGGAAACGTGTTCTAGACTTCCCCTATTCCTTACCCTCCATGGGAGACTTGGGGAAGGAAACGTGTTCTAGACTTCCCTATTCCTTACCCTCCATGGGAGACTTGGGGAAGGAAACATGTTCCAGACTTCCCCTATTCTTTACCCTCCATGGGAGACTTGGGGAAGGAAACGTGTTCTAGACTTCCCCTATTCCTTACCCTCCATGGGAGACTTGGAGAAGAGGAAACGTGTTCTAGACTTCCCCTATTCCTTACCCTCCATGGGAGACTTGGGGAAGGAAACGTGTTCTAGACTTCCCCTATTCCTTACCCTCCATGGGAGACTTGGGGAAGGAAACGTGTTCTAGACTTCCCCTATTCCTTACCCTCCATGGGAGACTTGGGGAAGGAAACGTGTTCTAGACTTCCCCTATTCCTTACCCTCCATGGGAGACTTGGGGAAGGAAACGTGTTCTAGACTTCCCCTATTCCTTACCCTCCATGGGAGACTTGGAGAAGAGGAAACGTGTTCTAGACTTCCCCTATTCCTTACCCTCCATGGGAGACTTGGGGAAGGAAACGTGTTCCAGACTTCCCCTATTCCTTACCCTCCATGGGAGACTTGGAGAAGAGGAAACGTGTTCTAGACTTCCCCTATTCCTTACCCTCCATGGGAGACTTGGGGAAGGAAACGTGTTCTAGACTTCCCCTATTCCTTACCCTCCATGGGAGACTTGGGGAAGGAAACGTGTTCTAGACTTCCCCTATTCCTTACCCTCCATGGGAGACTTGGGGAAGGAAACGTGTTCCAGACTTCCCCTATTCCTTACCCTCCATGGGAGACTTGGGGAAGAGGAAACGTGTTCTAGACTTCCCCTATTCCTTACCCTCCATGGGAGACTTGGGGAAGGAAACGTGTTCTAGACTTCCCTATTCCTTACCCTCCATGGGAGACTTGGGGAAGAGGAAACGTGTTCTAGACTTCCCCTATTCCTTACCCTCCATGGGAGACTTGGGGAAGGAAACGTGTTCTAGACTTCCCCTATTCCTTACCCTCCATGGGAGACTTGGGGAAGGAAACGTGTTCTAGACTTCCCCTATTCCTTACCCTCCATGGGAGACTTGGAGAAGAGGAAACGTGTTCTAGACTTCCCCTATTCCTTACCCTCCATGGGAGACTTGGGAAGAGGAAACGTGTTCCAGACTTCCCCTATTCCTTACCCTCCATGGGAGACTTGGGGAAGAGGAAACATGTTCCAGACTTCCCCTATTCCTTACCCTCCATGGGAGACTTGGAGAAGAGGAAACGTGTTCTAGACTTCCCCTATTCCTTACCCTCCATGGGAGACTTGGAGAAGAGGAAACGTGTTCCAGACTTCCCCTATTCCTTACCCTCCATGGGAGACTTGGAGAAGAGGAAACGTGTTCCAGACTTCCCCTATTCCTTACCCTCCATGGGAGACTTGGGGAAGGAAACGTGTTCTAGACTTCCCCTATTCCTTACCCTCCATGGGAGACTTGGAGAAGAGGAAATGTGTTCTAGACTTCCCCTATTCCTTACCCTCCATGGGAGACTTGGGGAAGAGGAAACATGTTCTAGACTTCCCCTATTCCTTACCCTCCATGGGAGACTTGGGGAAGAGGAAACATGTTCTAGACTTCCCTATTCCTTACCCTCCATGGGAGACTTGGGGAAGAGGAAACGTGTTCTAGACTTCCCCTATTCCTTACCCTCCATGGGAGACTTGGGGAAGAGGAAACATGTTCTAGACTTCCCCTATTCCTTACCCTCCATGGGAGACTTGGGGAAGGAAACGTGTTCCAGACTTCCCCTATTCCTTACCCTCCATGGGAGACTTGGGGAAGGAAACGTGTTCTGTTTAATGTAACAAACACAGTAGGAGAAGCAACACTGTGAGAAGTGCCTGGATTGGGCTGGATCAACCTTCCTGCAGGCAGAACTAATGGAAATTAGTAATGATCCGCTTCCTTTTGAGAGTTTGCGTTC